CCTAACTAGAGTAAAATAAACCAATTATGCGGTATACAACGACTTGAACAGACTATTTTGTGTCTATTAATTTTGCGACTGCAAGATATCTAACACTCCATTACTGTGAGTGAATAATAAAATAATTCAGAAGAATGAGATTTTATTTTAAATTTCTTGAAAAAAAGATTTAAGTTGATCCATTCTCCAGGTATTTGGATATGAGCAACACCTTAAGTATGAGAGATAATGATACTAAACGGTCGCCCAAACTTGGGGTCTAATGACTATAAGTAGAACTCCTTGACCGTTATGTCACAATTTCTTGGAACTACAATGTATATAACACCATCGTACATACAATGGAAAAAAACTGCACTGAAAATCCTCATTTAGAAAAACTACTCATCGGTACTAAGACATATTGTTTCACAGATCCCCTTAGTCGTATGAGTCATTTTGAATTTACGCAATAAAGGTCAATTAGATTAAAACATTGATACTAGGGCGATAAAATACATCCAGTACGAACTGTGAAATGAAACTAACTGATAAGTTGCGGTTCAACGACTTTGTCAATTAACAAGTACTTCGACAGAGGATTAATATCATGTTAATTGTAGCTCACAGTCTATAAGACGAAAATGTTCCCTCGACTACATAACTTAAGATTTTTATTAATTACTTCATCAACGTCATGTTGATCAGCAGTTACATAGAAGTAACAAAGCTTTTGAACTCACCATCCGAGAAATGAGTTCTAAGTAAGAACGCCATTCCACAACCAAATAGCTTCATTTTACCTAAAACAGTTGTTATAATCGCTCTTTTCTTCTTACGGTTATGACCCAGCTATTCCTATTGCTTAGTATTCTCGGACACCGATTCACTCGACAAGTCCCCAAATCAGAACACGGTTGAACAGGAAAGAGATTATATTCCAAATAGCAAGTCAGAAGCACAATAGGGAAAACGTCAGTATATTTATAGTTTTTACATAAGAAGATTCCAGAGTGTTCTCCAACTATCGGCTAGTGCTGATTGGATAAGAATTAGCCAATCAGCGTGCACCAAAGCAATCATGCATTGAGCATGCTTTAATCTAGTCTATGTCCCGCTAACACCTCCCCTTTGAGCAGATTCGTAGGATCTGGTGCTAGGGTCCAACTGCAACTGAGTGACTGGCTTGTGCTTTCGATTAGTTCATCGTCTAGGCAATAAAGAATTATCACTTTTTTTCTTGCACAGATACTGACATGTCTGTTCCCGGCGTTTCGATTTTCTTTTAAATAAAAGTATGCATAACTTTTAATTCTCCAACATTCTCCTCCTCCGCGAAACAATGTCGGATCCTTATATCTCCAAGTTACAAATAATAGGACTTTATTTAAACGATGTTTCTTGCATTGAATGTCGGATCCACTAGAAATGACTAGATGATAATGAACGACCTTTGATTTGAGGTCAGAGTTTAATTCTTCTGAAGCATTACTTTCAAATGCATTAGAAATTTCATCAGTGGATAATGGATCATTACGGAAATCAACATCTAACAAAATTAATTTAGACTTTGACCATAATTTGACTCAGCCGACATATTTTCCTCATTTTTATGAGAAATTTCATCAAAATTACATGCATTATTCTGAGAACCCATATCTGATACATTGTCATTAGAAATCGGATAAGCTGATTCAGTATAAATTTCTGTCTCACAATGATTTTGAGTAACATTCGGTATAATTGGGTTCATCGTGTCACTGCAGTTATTTTCTGAATATGAGTCCCCATAGCTTTTTCGACTAAAATCACGTGGACCACAATTTTGTTCGAGCTGAAGTTTATTTTCAGAGCTAGACAGGACCAGTAGCGTCTCATTTAATTCTGGACTCTGGGCTTCATCTACAGGGTCTGGCTCTTGATCATCTCGTATTGCCACAACTTTATGAGCATTCAGCACAGTATTTTCTTGCTGTGAGCCGGACACGTTACAAATATTACGTTCTGATTCAGGTATAAAGGGATTTGAACCCTCCACTGGATATGCTTCTGAAATGTCTGTTACTGCATCATAAACAGATTTCTTATTTTCTGGTCGAGTGAAAAGTGTGCTCAATAGTTGTTGTTGCAAGGCTAACAACTTCTGCTGGTGCTGTAATATTAACCGCAACTGTTCTAAAGAAATCGCCATTTTTCTTTAGTTTTTCCCCGTCGCCACTGTTATAATCTCTTTTCTTACGGTTATGACCCAGCTATTCCTATTGCTTAGTATTCTCGGACACCGATTCACTCGACAAGTCCCCAAATCAGAACACGGTTGAACAGGAAAGAGATTATATTCCAAATAGCAAGTCAGAAGCACAATAGGGAAAACGTCAGTATATTTATAGTTTTTACATAAGAAGATTCCAGAGTGTTCTCCAACTATCGGCTAGTGCTGATTGGATAAGAATTAGCCAATCAGCGTGCACCAAAGCAATCATGCATTGAGCATGCTTTAATCTAGTCTATGTCCCACTAACAACAGTAGATGATAATAAATGATCTACAGGGGGGAATTAATCTACTCCAATTGAAACAAATTTAGTAATCACTTACACGCACAAAATAATTAAGCACAATTTTTAACCCAACTAAGTGATAAGGAATAACTAGGTAAAAAAAGAATATTTATTTATATATAAATCAGAGCCTATAAAGCTAAAAAATAAGCTGTATTACATCAGCTGTTTTTGTCTTAACAATAGACAAGGATGATAAAAATATATGGATGGTTATAAATTTAGTATTTCACCATTCAATGTCTTAGTTCTTAAACGTATGCAATTTTTGTACTTGTCTAACCTTTTCGTGTTTGTTTCCAACTTTTTCGCTTAACTTTTGTTCCGTTATCAGAAAAAAATGAACAAAATATTATTTATATATTCATCATATTGAAATTCGTTTCATTTAGAAAAAAATTGACGAAAACGTATTGATTGAAGATGAAGAGAATATTTTAGTGATAAAGTTAAAACAAGAATGACAATAGCAACATAGACGTATATCGAAATGTTCGCAAGCAGAGAAAACGTCAAACTGAAAGCAAAAATGTAGTAAAAGGGATCAGATTTATACGATGAAACTGGATGATTGATTATTTATATGTAATGAGATAAAAAACGAAACAGTACACAAAATGAAACATATAAAAAAGATAGGCACTTTACCCAAAACAATAATAAACCCAATATACAAAGGTACAACACACTAAAACGCAGTGGGAAAGAAGATAAACAACAAAATTCACACCTTTTCAAAAGTTAAATATAGTCAATAAAAATTAACGAACTGACCAGTACAGCTTCGCATCTATTAAGAAATTCAATGCGTGATGATGTGATTCTGTGTGTCTACATATTTGTGTCATATATATATATATATATATATATATATATATATATATATATATATATATATATAGACACGTGATAAAATTGAATATAAGAGTACCTTTTGCTTTCAAAGACGATTCGCAATCAAGAGATGCAAAAGATAGCGGCAGAAAACAAGTTAAATCAGTGAATAGCAATAGCCACAATAAGGTAATAATAATAATAATAATAATAATAATAATAATATGGATTATACCACTGTATGTGACGGATGATAATCAAACAAATATAAGAAAAAGACATAAACATAAGTACATTGTTAATTAGTTATATTCTTTTCGATGTGAAAATACAAATGCCTTTTTAAAAAGAAAACGAGCAATTCAAACTTATACATGAATAAGTATTAAACATATACGTTATACACCGACTGATATACAAGTACATTCAACCATACTTCAGCATCGCTGAATAAAACAAAACTTATCTATATAAAAGCTGTTTGAAATAGAGGTTAAAATTCTGCTTACAATAAAAATAAATATTGAGTCACTTTGTACAAAGACACTATGACAGTATGTATGCGCAACACCATAGTGAAACAATAAGTGTGAAGAGGATAAATGAAGCGCTCCAGTATCAGGAATTCCTTCTTATTCAAATAGTTGATACAGAGTGAGAAATGATAATAATCATTAAAAAACTACCAATTCCTTCAATAAAACCAAGAAAACTAATGGGAAACAACCAAAAACTTGATGGACAGCAATAAGAACAACAACAAACTATACAAAAGGGAATAAAAACAGATTACTAGAGTGAACACATTAGGAAAATATAACATATCAAGAATTCTAAAATTAAGCTAACACTTAAATACGTCACTTAGAAAGGATTAGAAATCAAACAAAAGAGGACTTGTTAGATCAGGCACAAAATACAACACGTCACAGTATGACAGTTTTTACTAGGAAATAATACAGCAAAATCAATTAATACAAATTAACTCCTGGTAGAAGCTAATATGGTATACGCATGGCTGTGAATAATCTAGTAAGCGCACACCTAAGGCCTACAAACAGGCAAATACAGACATGCACACGTGTATACTTAGGGTCGGTATCCTATTTAATTATAACATGCAGAGAAAAGATATGGAATGTTAGACAGCCATTTAAAAGGAAACAAATAGATCCAACATTTTTGTAGTTGATGGGAAATGTGATAAATCCTCCTAGAATTGACGGCTATTACATTTATAATTATTATTATCAATTTGAATATAATATTTAGAAATTATAATTTTTAAAATATACAAAAATGACAGTTGATTGGTTATTATTCAATGTGTACGCAAAACACATAAGTGAATACAATAGAAAATTATAATAATGATGAAGCTGCTGCTGTATTAGAGAATAATATAAACGAGATCCCACCAAACACGTACATAAACAACAAACAGATAATAATATTAGTTTATAGAATGAAAGTAAATAAAATGGAAGGCATAACTCTTCTTCCTCATCTTTTGAAAATAAAAAGATAAAACAAAATTGTAAGCACTGTCAACTCTGGTGAGCTCAAACGTAAAATATTATGTATGTAACGAGATCTTATATACATATGTATATATGTATGTATATACTACTCCTTTACCGATGTGGCGGCAGCAACATTTGTGCTGGTTGTCTGACCAGGGGGAATAATTCCACCGGATGTCCCAGTTCCTCTTGTGCCGAGTGCTTCTGTAGTAGGAGCACGATGATCGCAACCTTCATTACCAGAAGTAAACTGTGAAAGCGGATATGATTGTTGTTGTTGATGCTGTTGTTGGTGATGTTCAATTGCGGACGCTTTTTGACGTAACAATGTCCAATCAAACACATAATCCCAGACAAATGATAAAGATCGAAAGAGATTACGAAAATTATTCCGCAAAAACCCATAATTCGGTGTTTCTTCGAATTGCAAAGCACGACAATGACTCAGGTAAACAAGAAATTCTGAAGGATAACCACGGCACAAAACATCAATTGGTGTGCTAGCTTTCTTTTCATGTATTCGTTCATATTTCTGTGGTTTGTTGCCAGCCTTTTAAGAAAAGAGAAAATTACCGTTGTGCAACTTCGCAATATAAAAAAAGGGATGAAAATAAACGAAGAAAGGTAAAACTGAAATACAGTTTGCTATCAATAAATATGTTGCATATAGCGGAAAATCAGTGCGAAAAATACATGAACACGGTATGAAGACATAAAGAGATGTGTAACCGTCTTTATCATTGGTTTTTAGGAGTCGGACGTTAATTTATTAGCCCGTGTCATCTATCAAGATCCAAAAAATTGAGTACCATACACATGTAGCAATTGAAATTAAAATTGTGGTTCATAGTCTAATGTTAGTGAAATCTGCATAAGTTACTGGTTTTTCGAGTAATCACTAAACAAATCAGTTTTCTTCAATATCCTATCCGACTTATTGAAGTAATACTGGTTGATCACTTATATACGTTTAAACAAAAGACCTTTAACTGGATACAGTTAAATAATTTGAGCAACTGAAATAATGGGATATATATTAATAATAATCCACATATTTGTGTGATATATAGCTTGAGTCACACCAATACTTGATTATGCAGACAAAATATATTGACTTTGATTCAACAACACAATTATCAAGAGTAAAGTATACCAGAAACCGATCATAGCCCCTACCGTGGCGTGATGATCGGCTCGTTTATCGTGGTAACCTAACTGAGATAATATCGGATGGGACACTCGTTTATTTGGGTCCTGCCACGCCAATCAGGTTGGTTGGAGACTAAGAGCACCAAAACTCATGGTCTGAAATGGGAATTATGTTGCCAATTGAATATAGGTGTAGTGCTACTAAGGTGCCTCCTTCAGACAACCAACGCCTACAGAGATGCTGTTTTCCCATAACGAAAGGAGAAGGCTAGGAAAGGTCCCAAGGATTACCATCTACAACAATAAGAGTCTGGAGCTACTTCATTTAAAACTACTCTAAAAAGGTCGTGTGTGACGGGTTTTAACCACTTGTTTCTTTAGATCTGTGGTCACACTTCTAAATTCCCAAGACCACCACTAATCCAGTTTATTTTTCAAGTAACTGGAGAAGAACTATTCTTCCACGTATCGGGAACCGGGAAGTGACAATCGACCTAATGCTTCTAAGAGCTCATAATACAGACAATTAAATCGTATAATTACATATCTAGCTAATCTAATATACGATTGTTTATCAAGATATAAGTTCTACTTGTGTTTTTGAGGAGGTAATAAAGCATCCCAGATAAATAACGCTACAGTGTATTGAAGCTCAAAGCATACACTAATCAATAGATGAAGACCTTGTTATTCACTATTCGATTTTACAAATACTACATTCAAGTAATTTAATAAATTATGAAGTTTGGGAAGTAAAATAATTTCAATACAAGAATACTGCAAGATTATATCCATCGTTTAACCTACCAAATATCATTTATTTAATATTAGGTACATCTAAGTATTTAGATGGATTTATTGATACTGATGAACACTTAGGACTGCAATATGATATTAAAGGCAACTGAGATAATAATAACTCAATGGAAATATTCTGACTGTACTACTAAAAGATTCAAATACCAAGTTAATAAGTAGAATGATCTGTATATGTTTAAATTCAAACATGGTAACAACACAAAAAGAGGAAATCAACAGCAATGAAAGAACAATAAAATAAGAAAACGGAGAAAGTGAAGAGAAGGAAAGTAAAAAGGCGTTTAAAGGAAGTAAAGAGAACAGAAAATACTCATTATTACACACTGATTGTTAGTCATTGATTTCTGTTATCTCGTGGATAACATTGAAGACACCAATGTCAAAACAACCAAATTTGTATGGAATGGTGCCATAACCTGGACGTTCAGCCTTGGTGATTTTCAAACTTAATACTACATTAGCTAGCATTAAGCACTAAAGCAATTAGTATCTTGCTCTATGCAACAAATAGACTAGCCAACATAGAAAAAGTTCATAAATCTTTGCTTAGAGTTCCATACTCACACATAATATCCTAAGTTTCATAATCGTACTAGACGTAAATAATACTCCGAAGATATCGATACATAAAAACCTGTGAAGTTTGAGAGTTTTTCACCTTTAAGAATCACACTTCAGTGATAAAAAGTATCGCACAAACAACTAATGCATGCAATATTTATCTTTTTGGTTCGTAATTCGATAACTCAAGTAAAGACTAAAAAATAAGAGAATAACAGTTTGACACTGAGAACAACATTGTAAGCAATACCATTGACAGTCATCATTTAATAACTTCCTCTATATTTTAGATACACATACAATGGTAGAATTAACAGTATTTTCACATTTGTAAGATGAAGATGCTGATGTGGAATGGATCGACAATTTCTGCATCAATGATTCGAGAAGCTTCAGTTGGTTGGCTTTATTTTGAGCCTGCTTCAGTTGTAAAATAGATTTGAGATCATCCAAAAATATAGACATTGTAGATTAATAACACCAATAACGTCACCAGTTGAAATGACCGAGTCAATTTTGTACAATAATCGGAAAGCCGGATTTGCATTGAAATTACACGAACCGACAATAAATATGATTGCTACCCCCAAGACCCTATATCTCACTGAGCCATTGGGATTCAGGAGACAAAGCCTGGCCTGTTACTGCGAAGAATACATTTTAGGGAAAAATACCACTTTTTTACACACAAATTTTCTTTTCAGTAGTTATTATTTATATTTAAATAATTAAAAATTAAACGAGTATCATGATAAATGAATAAATAACAGGAACAGTCAAAATACAACCGAATATTATACTGAAATAACTAATAACAGAACTTAGCAGAATATACTCGAATATTATTCTGAAGAGGTATCATGCTGAATTAATCTATGATCTCACGCCTAATCACTTCTTATCACTCCACATATTCCACTGTTACATGAACAAATTGAGTTTCATAACTTAGTGTGTATTACATGTTAAGCTTAACAAGTTAAATTAGAAATTTATCAAGATATCAAAGGAAGATGATCACATTCTTCAGTGTATTATATAAATATTCAGCAGACTTCTAAAATGTAGTGTGTTTACCTTAACTTATATTCATGAAAGTATGGTTTATTTGTAAAGTTTTACAAAAAACACCGGAGTAATCCCTGGTGTCACTATTCTCACATATTTTAAGGTAAATAACATCATTCTAACGAAAAATGCTAGTAAATACTTACTGAACCAATACTAACAGTGTGGACACCATTCTACCTCCCAAATATAAATCAGTACAAGTGACTACTCTGCATGAGATCACAACTTGGAAGAGATGCATCACACAAATAGAGTAGGCATTGTTGTTTGTTATGTTTGATAATTGTTTGAAAAAATCAAACAAATATTCATCGAAAGCTTTTAGTATGCATAACAGAAAGCTCAAAAAAGACAAATAACCTAAATAAATTTTTGAAAGACCGTGAGTTTGACTTAAGGTTAATGGGAGTATCATAGTATTTTAAAAACTGGGGATCAAATAACAGCAATACAAATCGTGAGTGTATCACTTATTTGGATAAATTGCCAAACGACTCAAGGACTCCGCTTTCAGTATTTGAGTATATATATATATATATATATATATATATATATATATATATATATAAACTAATACTTGCTTACTGGTTATCTTCATGAGTGGAAGCTAAAAATACTGATGAAATAGTATATTTTATGTTTACATAGACTTTACCAGTACAAAAAAATAGTAAGAATTTTCGCAACAAAGTGGGAAACTGAAAAGAATAAATAATATTAAAATTACTATAGCAAAAGTTCAACTTTGTACAGAATTTACAAGCCAAGCTAGTGCAACTCAAGTTATTGCAAAATTTTAACACTATTATTTGATAGTTCAGTGATTCATTTGTCTTATTATAAATATATGTACTTATAATTCTATCTGATTGTATTTTGAATGCATTTGTACGTATGTGTGTGAGCATTTTAGTAGAGCATAATAGTTTATACTGATCTTTTAAGATAATAGTACAAAAAACAGAAACCAAATCTTAAAAGCCTTCGAAAGAAAATAACGAAATAGATACTAATTTGAAATTACATACTTACTTGTAGTCCTTGCCATGGTAGACTACCACGGAGGAAATACATTAAAACGTAACCAAGAGACTCCATATCATCTCTTCGAGATTGTTCAATACCAGCATGGGAATTAAGACTAGCATATCGCGCTGTACCGATAAGAGATTTATCGTCTCTGTATGAAATATGACGACGTGTTCTATGATCTCTGTTGATTAGAATAACAAAAAGTAAACAAATCCTATTTTTAAAAGTATATTGTAGACAAAGTCCACTACAACCTATGTTGAGCGACACTATTCAAAACTATAACTATTTCTGAGTCTATTTTTTTTTATTCATAGGAAAGCATTTTGTCTAGCTAAGCTTTGACTAACTTTTACAAATCGGAAACTGTTTATTGTGCACTCAGTAAGTTAAGTCATCACATCCAATTGCATCTAAGTGCATTTACCAGTCTTCTTGCTCTAGTTGAGTAATGCATATTGGACGTAGACTGTAGTTAGGACACGTACACAACAACATTACAGTTTAGTTTTACAATGGTGAGAAGAAAGTGGTTAGAAGTAAGATTACCGAACATTTAATTGACTGGACCAATTTCACAAACCTTGATTTGATACACAAATATGAGATGATTGAGGGCATTTGTAGCTCACGGTAAGGATGCTGGAGTTATGATCTCTAAGCCGGATACTTTGGTTTTGAAGCTTCTTTTATCATTCTAATGATGTTACTCAGAATGACGATAAAAGCTTAACAACTAAACCATCCAACGATTCCAATGCACAAAAATACCGGTAAAAACGGGCATTAATGAAAATATGCGCCACAATAAAGGAAATGAAAATGACAGGGAAAGGGGTGTAATTAAAAACAAATCAATGAATAAAAATGAGGGACAAAAGTAGTAAATAATGGGGGAAATGGTTCAATGAGAATAAAACTAAAAATGTTTCTTTAGAATGAGTTAATTACATTTTTTTATGAACATAGAGGAAAGTTATGACAGGATTGTCACTTACTGGCCCTGTTTTGTGTCATGTCTAATAACATCTTAAACCAGTTTCACTCTTTCAAAAATATTAATCATGAAGTCGCAATGAACCAACAGGTTAGTCTTACACAGCTTTTTTCCATACAATGGCGCCATTTCACAAACTTACCACTGTTTTTTAAACTCCATTTTAGGGTCGGTAACCAATGTTCGATGTGTAAGTCAATAGGATGATATTCGTAGCACCTATCGAGGCTATTAAATTTGGTGCTTCAAGACGATATCAACTAAATCGTCGGCACTTCCCCCGAGCATGTATTGTTTCATCAGAACTCAAGAAATTACATAGATAAACAAACGTTTCCATATTTTTTAACAGCCCACAGCCAAAAGTGAGTGCACGAACATGCTCCTATCAGTCTACTAAAAATACTTTGCGCTTCCAAGGTGCAAAGTACATACCATACCTACGGACAGCAATTGTCGACTGATTAAGTGTGATTTACATAGTTTGTGTATCATCGCACAACAAAATAATATTATTCGCATACTCAAGATCCGAAAGTCTTACTAGGTATCAGATACACATCAGTACCACTTACTTCCATCAGAGCAGTTTCTGCAATGTCATCGACGGTAAACTTGAAGAGGACTGGTGAGAATGAGAAGTCCTGTCCAACTCCACTTCTGGAGCGGGACAATGAACAAAGGTGATTGTATGTCTGAAATGTTTGGGTATAGAAACTTGAAGATGCTAATAAACCTCCCAAGCACAACCTTTTTCAACAAAAATTGTCAGAGTACAATCCTGCTCAACGAATCGGAGGTGAGCCTGAGATCAAAAAATACAACGAATGCTGGCCCACAATGTGTGACAGCGTTCCAACATCTGATTAAATGTGAGGACTAATCAATACACCCATAAACCGACCGTAAACCAGCTGGTGTCTCACGACTCAGTATTGCATTAGTTTTTAACAATCTGTGTAGTATGACAGAAGCCAGTATTTTGAACGAAATCGAAAGTAGATTTATCCCTCGACAGTTGATACATAGATGAAGAAGGCAACTTTTAAAGATGGAGACGACGGTTCCTTTATCCCGAAATTTTGGATTAATGTTTATTTTCTACACTTTCCTAGACAAACCAGTCAGTTAGCTCACCAGACGATGGCTGGCTTCCTTAAAAAGAGCAAGGGGTAAATCGTTTGAGTGTTTTAACTTGTCATGCTTCGGAAGTTGGGGCTCCTTTAGAATCTCCACCTCGTTAGGAGGATGGGTCGTCATCGATCATAAAGAAAAGGAAAGTCTGGCTGACCTTGATGAGGCAGTGGACAAGCTAAGTGGTTTCTCAAAAAATCTCGTCGTTTAAGACATGGCTGGACAGTACTTGATTCGCACTCAATCAACTGCACATATTGTGTCACTCACACCAGGCTATTTTTCCGCCAGAGCTTATAGCAAACTGTCATCTGATTTAGCAACCTCAAGTGGTGTCTGACAAGGCTGTCCACTATCTCTATTTTTGTTCAATTTCATCATTGACCTACTGCTGGAAATAACGCTTTCGTCATTTGAATTTTCAGGAATTGATCTCCTTCCAGGAGGTTCACTTATCGAACTAGAATACACAGATGACACATTCCCTTTTGGTGAAGACGCTGATAAAATGCAGAGCCTTTTGGTCGCACTGAGCAACAATGCCAGAATGTTTGGAATGCATTTCTACCCCTCTAAATACAAGTTGTTGCTTCAGGACTGGCCTGCATCAACACCTCAACTAAGGATAGGGAGTGAAGTAGTCGAATACCTTGACAACTTCACTTATCTTGGGAGTCTGATCAACCTTAATGGGTTGGTGTCTGATGACATCTCTGCATGGATTCAGAAAGTTCGTTTGGCTTTTGCCAACTTACGTCACCTATGGCGAAGGCGAGATTTTCGTCTATCAATTAAGAGACGAATATACTGCGCGGCAGTTCGTTCTGTCTTACTTCACGACTGCGAAGCATGGCCATTAAGAGTAGAAGATATTTGTAAGCTACTAGCATTTGATCACAGACGTCTTCGAAATATTACTCGCATCTGCCGGGATCACCGGGTAAGTAATAGTGAGGTTGGACGCAGGGTATTAAGGAATGATGGTAAATCAGTTGATGAGGTTGTGAATCCTCATCGACTGAGATAGTTGGGCCACGTGTTACGCATGCCTGAACACCGACGCGCAATGCTGACTAGTGTTGGAAACGGATGGAATAAGTTAGGGGCAGCCAAACTAAAACGTGGCATCAGTCCTTGAAGTCACTAACTTCCTGTCGTAGCCATGTTGGTAAATGCAGACTACTTGGTTGGGGTCCGTGTGACTATCGTAACCAATGGTTGGAGACTCTGGGTGACATGGCTCATAATCGATCACAATAGTGTTGGTGTACACGCTCCTTGACTTTTCTTAAACCGTGTGATTGAAATTGCCTTATACCTTTCCTTCTACGATCTAATTCTTTCTCCCTGTATCATATCTCTATACGAAATCTCTTTTTCATATATTACTACCATTGAAGTAACTGGTGCTGACTGACTGACTGACCTCATTTATGTACACTCTGTAGAAGTTACACAGCCTTGTATGGTTATTATGTGCACTATATGACTTAGTATCATAATGACTGTTATCACGCTATTATGATTATCAAGTGTTCAGATTTTCTTGTTGAAAAGATATTTCTATACTGAATTTCCTGCTCTTGATCTTCTTATTAAAAAATCAAAAAGTTACAAAGTCATCACGAACATTCACATATGATATATTTATAGGCAAAAGGCGAATCTTAATGTCCAATTACCTTTCTCATCAACAAAACTTGTTTACTGATTAGCTTTGTCATATTTAAAGCATGATTTTGGGTGTCGATTTCCGATTGACATATTTAACAGAAAATCAGTAGTAAATATTTGTACTAGACTGAGTTATTTATTGATTTAAACACAAACATTGGTATAAGGAGGCACAAAATAGATATGCGTCACATAAATCATTCGATTTGTGTGAGGACTGGGATACTGCACAGGTGCCCAAACCGAAGCAGGTGGTTTTCTTAGGGGGCCACACCTTAAACCTTCGACCTAAAGGTCTGACCCACAAGGCAGTTGAGCAACGTCAGGAGATGCATTCCCATTGTAGGCGGTGACCAACATTAGGTTCGTACGCCATTTTTTTCCTTCAGGATCCTTGGGCCCATGTACACCGTTGGTTTGGAATGAGGGTTTTTCAACTCCCCTATGTGGACTCTCCGTGTCCGCCAACCCGGTTAAAACGTCGGACATTCGCTTTTCGTCCTCTCAATTTCGTAAACAACAACCCCGCCGCGAGAAGGCTGTGAATAGGACTTCCCTGGCAGTGATTGTATGTATGTGGTCATGTGAGAGCATTTCGAGAGGAGTCAGTCAGTCAGTCAGTAACAACGTAGAACTTCGTACGTACGTACATCAGTTCGAGTTGCCACACCACATTAGCACAGAGATGCACTTGTCGATTCAAATCCCGTCGTGGTAGAGGTAATAAGAGTATAAGCAGTAATCGGGAAGATTAGGGTTTGGAGATGTTATTTAAAGAGTATAATCCAGTGAAAGAAATTTGGAAAGAGGAAAAAAAGGGACATGAAGAATTCAGAAGATTAGAATTTGGGAGAACACAGAGAGTGGATGCACCTGCGCCATTGCAAACGATTTTGAGCCATGTCATTCAGGGTCTCTAACCAACGGTTGCTGTCATCTCGCGGTCCCCAACCAGGTAGTCTACACCTACCAACATGACTCAGTTCACTTGTCAGTGACTTCATGGACTTGTGCCATGTTTTGGTCTGGCCGCCCCTAGATTTCTTCCAACCTACTCCTATACCACTGAACATAGCACGTCGAGGCAGTCGGTCGTTGGGCATACGTAACACGTGTCCCAGCCATCTCAACTGATGAAGTTTCACTACGTCATCAATTGATTTGCCATCCTTACCTAGTACCCGTTTCCTAACAACTGTGTTACTTACTCGATGGTCCCATGATATATGAGCAATGTTTCGAAGACACCTATGATCAAATACTAGTAACCTACGGATATCCTCTACTCTTACCGGCCATGTTTCACTCCCATAAAGTAGGACGGAACGAACTGCTGCGCAGTAAACACGTCCTTTGGTTGATAGACGGATATCTCG